CCAGCCAGCATGCTGGCTGGAGAACTCTGGGAGTTGAAGTCCACACATCTTCAAGTCACCAAGGTTGAGGAACCCTGGCACAGATAATGTGGAAAGAGACTTCTCCTCCTCTCTCTTCCTGACTCAAGCTGACCCACTGAAACCAAATGGAGAGAAGTTCAGCAGCAATAAAAGAAGATACTTTTTTCTACACAGCCCATAGTTAGGCTGTGGAATTTGCCACCAGCAACTGTGGTCACAGCAGCCAGTTTAGACAAAAAAGAGAACTGGACAAGTTCATGGAAGATCAACCTTTCCACAGCTTTTAATATTTACTTCCTTCTGATGGTTTTCGTGCTCCAGGCCAGGTGTGTGAGGTTCCCAAGCATATCCAGTTGACCACAGAGTGACAAAGAAGGTTGGACTAAGTGGGCCATCCAACCAGTTCTTATGTTCTTGTAGTCTTTATCCATTCAGACATGTAACTGCCTAAATGAACTTCTGGGTCCACACAGAGGCCAGCAGCATAAAGTTCAACCGAAGGAAGACATCTGAGCCAGTGTCAGTTTCAACTTCAAAAGGTTGAAGAGTTTCAACCTTCCGTAAGCCATAAGAAGTCCAAGGGATACCTTGAAATGCTCACTCCCCACTGGATTTATCTAATCAGTTTCTTAGGGAAATATGTACAATAGTATAACTGCATGTAGGCTGTCCAAACTCCTTGGAGTCAGGACAAGATAAGGATGCATCACCCTCATCATCATCATCATCATCATCATCATCAAGCAGGTGAGGTCCAAATCCAAGGTTTGCTATTTGGCCTCAGCATCGCTCTTGCTAAACACAGGTTCTCCATTATGTCCTTGTGCTGCTGGCTCCTTCCTGCCCAGGACAAAGAATGGGTTAACTGCCTCTCCTGCAGACCGAAGAGGCTTTGCAGAGCTTCATTCTGCAAACCCCAGGTAGAATCAAGTGGGAGGAAACAGCTGGAAACCTCACCCCTCTCATCTGCTGCTCTATTCATGCAGGGGAGAAAAGGCTGTTCAGGCAGCATTTGACATCTCTCAGCTTGCGTGGACCTGATGACCAAGGTCAGTCTTCGCCCTTCAGGCTTTCTCAGCAACACAGAGACTCTGCTTGAAATGAAAGCTGCTGGCCGGAATTTGCATCAGCTGGAGGCAAGGTGGACTTCTGCAATGGAATGGGGGAAGGATCTTGGGGGAGGGGGGGAGATGCTGCCTTGGGAACCATCTGATAAAAGGGGGAGGAGCCCCCAACTGAGTAATGGGCAGAGAAAGAAATTTAGAAAGGATCGGCCCTAAGTGATCAGGCAGTAAATAGGGACGGTGGGAGATTTGTACTTTCAGACTTGCAAGATGTTAATGTAGCCTAATAATAAAATAGAAATAGCTCATCTGGCTGTGCTTCCTGCCTGGTTTACCTGGGAAGGCTCACATCTCCTTAACATCTTCTCTTCCAGTCGGGGGCATCTGCAGGGTGGTGTGCAATGCACACACAAAAAGGCAGAGCTTCAATCGCACAATCGCAGCTGCCATCTTGACTTTCTTGGACCACACCCTGCTCTTTGGTGGAAAACTACTCCATGCTGAAGGTGGTTTTACTCCAGCTTGGAAAAGATGCACGCACCTATTGATGCCTTTGTGTCTTGCTTGGGAAAACACAGAACTGGGGGCAATTTTCTGCAGCGGTACAATATCCCAAAGGATGGGGGTCCCTTTCATCAGGCAAAGTCCCCCTTAAGCCCCTCTCAACGCCTGGGAGGGGTGCCCACAGGGGTGGGTCAAAATCTGCAAGATGGCAGGCCTGGCTTCACAATCATGTGCGTAGACTCGCCAATGCCTTTCCCCCACTGCAGATACGCACGACTCCTGGTGATTTCATAGACGCAACCATGCAATTTTCTGGGCCACAGCACAAAAGTGATTTGCTACTGATTTTTTCTGGGATGTTTGTGACTTCCCAGCCTAGCCTATAGTCCTGATTTCCTAGTGGTCTCCCATCCAAGGACTCTTAACTTCATAGATCAGCCAAGGATCTGCC